TAACGATTCCAGGAAAATTACGTTCATAATTTGATTCCTTCTGTCTTGGTCGGAATCCTCCATTGAGCACGCGCAGGTCCAAATCGAGTAAGCTTGACTTTGTCTGGTTTGAAAACTGAATAACTCTTTCATCAAAACCCGGATTGAACCGATTCCACTTCGAGGAGTGCTCTAGATGAGGTGAAAACATAGTAAAAGTGGCCTTTTGGCTGTTCCAGTTGAGATCGGACCCCATTTGTGTTGAACAATGCAGATACGTCTTCTAGGGCGTCCTCAATATCATATCAGTCACTCTCTATGGCGATGATTTACGGCTTGGTTGGTGCTCCTCAACTCTCCCTTTTTAACTGCTCCTCTCCTGCTCGTACCCAGCCACAGCCGGAACCGCCCCCTCCTCCGTATCCTCCGCCTCAATCTCTGGTGCAGATCTCCGTCGTTGTTTGCTCCCACATGCTATCCTTCGCTGGATCTGGACGTTCATTGTCGGCAACTCTTTGTCTCCTCCCCGCAGATGGGTTTAGAGATCTTGAAGCTCGCCTCAGTCCGACCTCTGCCATGACGGCATCCTTGCGAGCATTTCACTATTTTACTTAGGATTCTATCAACGCTCCTCTCCTAGTCCCCCATGTTCGTCTTTACTCGTTTTCCATTTTTTCTTCTTTTGAAAGAAATCGGTTTATTGTCGAGAAGATGAATTTGATCTTGTGGAATCCTGGTGTAGTTAGTTATGATCACATGGCTGTAGTTCTCATCATTCCCACATTTGTGGCTTTTACTGGCATCCATTTCGTATTGTTTGTTCGACAGGAAGGTACTCTGTGTAAATCCAAAGCATTTATGTTTATGATGTTCGTACTGTTCCCTGAATCTACACAAATGATATATGCAAAATTGAAGATTATATGAGTAAATCCAAGGCGTTATCGCATATGGTGTCTATATCCCAAGTCTTTGAATTTGTCATTTCCCTTTTAGTAGTAGAAAGGATGGTAATCCATGAAGATCTTTCTCAAACTATCTCCGAAGTAATAAGGACAATCTCGGTAAAATCTGATTCCTTACATCTGGTCAAGCCATCATCTCAGGCTTTTATGTTTTCGAGCTTCATGATATTCTTGAGGATCTCACTCCTCACCAAAAGTTTTGACTTCACTTCTATCAAGTTTATCAAAAGTTTATCTAATGTATTTGTTACTTCCTTTGGGAAAAACTCTTTGTATGCGGTTCTCACATTTTTAGTTTAATTAATGGAAGTAACTAGTTGCACAAAAAAAAAACCTAATTAAGAAAAGTAAAGTGTGATTAGGAAATCTATTTGTAAAAGCCTAATAAATGTAGAATTTCTTGGAAATTGTAATAATTATTTAGACAGAAAAGGAGGATCTCCAAACCCTAGAAATTGACTCATTTGATAAATGAAAACTAAGATTTTTTTTTGTCGACAAATAAAAACCAAATCATAATGTGGGGAAGTTAATTATATTTCATTTCATTATTGTTAACGCAAACAAATTCATCATCGCCTTCAAGTACTGGTCGAATGCGTCACCATGATATCATGCTTTAATCATATTCTGCGTAAGTGGCAAGAAAATTATTATTGCAAGTACATTACTACTCTTTTCAATAAAAAAATTTATCCGATTTAAACCCGAGGTACGTGCACCGTGCTAGTAACAGAGGTACATTCAAATTTAGCTAGCTTTTTCTTCAACTCTAACATGCGCAGACGAGAAGGAAATTCTCATATGTTAGACACACACGTGGAAATTCTCATATGTTAGACACATGTAGATATATATATATATATATATATATAAATATCAATCTATAAAATGCTATTTTAAAATGCTATTTTAAAATGTGTATTTTTTTAAAATGCTATTCCGATGAGCATACTGGAATGAAGAAAGAGAGGAATGTCAATCTATAAAATGCTATTTTAAAATGTGTAATTTTTTAAAATGCTATTTTTCAATCACGGATTATTTTAATAGTAAGTTTTAATTTCTTAAAAGCTTATGAGCAACTTGATTATGATCCGATGTAATGAAGACTCAGATAAACTTTTGACACATTTTAAACGTAACTGGTATTCTTTTTAAAGCGGGTACATATAAAACTTTTACGCAACATATGTTAATTTATTAAAGTTACCAAGAAAGAGAACATTTATAATTTATATCATTAGTTGAAATTCAAAATTATATATAAATAAAATTAAAACAAATAACCGAACAAAATTATAGACCGAAAAATTGAAAAAGATTTGGAATATAGAAGTTCCCTCGGTCTAGTGATCGACGAAGAGTTATGAATGCTTTTACACTAAGAGCATGTACATTGGTGAACCCCTCTTAAGGGTTCATCAAAATATAATAATATTATTTTTTGTTTTGAGTTTAAAGAAAAACCTCTGCTAATTTCTGAGTTCTATTAGTGAACCCCAATTGGGGTTCAGAAAAAAACAATATATAATTTAATTAAAATTTGAAAATTTTAATTAGTACTGAAAAACAACAACTTTTAATTAATACTGAAATCTTTAAATGGAGAAGGAGAGGAGCTTCTTCAAAGAACATATGCTAATCGGGAACTCAATTGTTTGGTGGAGAAAGGAAAAACCTGAGAGCTTCTTCAATCTTCTTCCTTCACGTTGAAAATTGATTTAAAGAGCTTCTTCAATTTTCTTCCTTCAGGTTCATTTTCCACCAAGCAAAGAATGCGGAGTCTACAACTTCAAAATGAAGAAGTATTTTTTGGTCTGCCAATAAGGACCAAAAGTTATATTCAGAAGAACAGATGACAATGAGAAAGGAAAGATGATACAAAAGATATGGAACAGAGAAAAATTATTTTCCTTTTCTTAGATTTATTCACATACCCTTTCATTCTTTGGGAATCTGGAAGTAAGTTTTGTAGCTACTAGTAGGATTATATTCAGGAACATGAGGAAGATCATTCTGGAAATGGTAGACAATACTCGTATAGATAGGCCGATCAAAGCCATGGCACTGCCAATTGGAAGGAACTGTAAAACAAAGGAAGCAATTAAAAATTTACTAGAGACCAGAATAATATTTACAGAACCAACTCTCAGGTTTTGTTATATGCATACAAGTTTGAAATACAACATAATAACCAGAAGACTATAAATGAAACCAACTCTCAGGCTACAGAATCATAACTCACTTGATGATCATAAAAATCTAATGTTAGAATTCGAACATAAACTGACCGGGTAAAGATTTCCAATATGAATCGGGAAATGCAGCATCATAGAACTTCTCTGGAACATTTGCAGGGCTAGGAGCCAATAAAAACTTCCAGTAACCAGATAAAGACTTGACAAACGGAAACCCCTCCACCCAAAAAGCAGCACTATCAAGAGCACCTTGAACAGCATCCTCGTTCCAAACAGCAGATTTTGATACGGTGAGATCCACGTTTGTTCGCTGATACCAGTACCTTAAAGACCCTATACAATCATACTCTCCATTGAGTTGATATACAAGTTAAAACCACACTTAATTGCAGCTATAGAGTATCTGAAAAAGCCCTAACTTTAGCTATCATCAGCCATGGTCAATTGGAAAAAGATCGACTTTCCATATAGTTATTTAGGGTAATGAATTACCTTCAACGGAATCATGGCAACGCAGGGTGACATGAGGGTCTCTCTTGCGCCACTGGAAAAGGGTCTGATCCTCCCAAACTCTATACCCATTTTCGGAGGGAATAATCATTTGCGTCGCAAGAGAAGCCATGCTGCTTGCTTTACCCGCTGTGAATTTCGGAACAGAGGAGAAGAATGAAATTCGGGTAAGGATCAAAGTTGATCCATTTGTTGTCGATGGAAGAAGAAGAAGAAGGAGGTGGAGAGAAACACAAACACTGAAATTGGAGTTCGCCACGTCACGACGATACTGTATCGTCAGGATCGTCGGGAAGAGACAGTATCGTCGAAATTAACCCATTTTCTTTTTTTTTAATTGGGTTTTGCCTATGATTCTGGGCCTGAACCCGGCTTGATATTCTAATGGACGTGCTCTAAGTGGTAGTGTTCAATTCCTAGAGAATGCAAATTAAAAAATGAGATCAAAGTTTCTGGAGATTTCCAAGCGATGCAAGCACAGCCAATCGTCGTGGTTCAGCATGTCAAGGGTAAAGTGTTCCATTATGAGCATGGTGCATGTAGATTGTTGATCGTGGATATTTATAAGATGGTAGAATTGTCTGTTATAAAATCGATTATATAACTATTTTTTATAATTTATAATTGATTATTTTTTAGATGATTCAAAAAAAAGATTTGGAAATTTTTATGGAGAAAAAATAGATGCTGAATGAAAATAGAATTTTTTTTAAAAGGCATTAAACTTACATTCTCTGTAAGAAATCTGCATAAATGCAAGACACTTATAGTATGCGAAAACTATTATACACCGTATATAGAGTATACGAATAACCCCTTTTGCTATTTAAAAATTTTTCAGTCGTCAATTTTTTTAATCAAAAGAAAACTCATAATTCGATTATATAACGAAAGTAACTTTCTCTACCTTGCTTTAAGATAAAGCTGACGCATAAAACAGATGAAGTATACAGTATTCTAAAATGATTTTTAATGGTTTATTAAAATATTTTAATTAAATTAATTAATGAGTTATATATAACCTTTAGTATATATTTATTAAACCTAGTAAATTATGCACGGGTTAAAAAATATGCTCATCTTTTTAATGTAATTTATCAGAAAATATGTCATTTGCCACTGTAATAAAAATCAAAAGAAATTTAAAATAATAACAAATGTACTTGAAACTCTTTGTCAGATACTCCTTCTATACATCGAATTTGGACATCCTGAATTCTTGATAATTATAAAAGGAAGAAAAAAAAAAAAAAGATAAAATGGAAAAGAAGGAGAGAAAGACAAAAAACAAATAAGTTTAATTACATCATAAAAATCATTGAGATCGATCTAGTGTTCAATTTGTTTGTCGCTCTATTCATCTTTTCTTTTCTCCCAAAAACTAAACCATAGAAGCAACAAATCTCAAAGCCAATTTCTAAATCCTTTTGAAAGATACAGAGAGAAACGATGAATAGAGGAGTGTTAGAGAGTTCGCCGGTACAACACCTCACGGCGGCTGAAAACCCTAACTGGTGGAATAAAGTAAGCGGTGGCTTGATGAGACCACCGTCGCAGCAGCCGCCTTCTACCACCACCTATCTTCCACCGAGTATCTTGCCCAACTTCTTTTGTTCTCCGAGTTCTTCTTCATCTTCTTCTTCACCTTCTCTGCCTCCCACGAGTAACCCTAACTCCTCTTATTGGTTTGGGAATAGTGATGATCTGCCTCTTGACCAACCATTGAGCCTTAGCCAACTACTCTTGTAACTATTTCTCTCCATATTAATATATGGGATAAATATGGGATAAATTCTAAGTAAAATGGTTTCAAGCTCTTGGATTTGTTTTTTAACATGAATTAATTTAACATATATATATATATATATATATATATATACCTGTATGTTGTATACACAAGATCTAATATGGATTATGTCTTTCAATTGAAGGGGTGGACTGATGGTAGGAGACGAAGAAAAAATGAACGTGATGAACCATCATCGTCATCAAAATCAACAGCATAATTACCAAGAGAAGAAGCTAGAGAATTGGAAAGAACACTTTTTGAGGCACCAAGCTTCCATCAAACAAGATATTAACAATAATAATGGTAATGTGATGATGTCGTCACCGAACACACCTCTAAACAAGTCTTGTGTTGCAACAACAACAACAATTCACAACATCAATGAAGAAAACAACAATAACAATCACAATGGTCTTAACTTGTCAGAGGTATGGGTCAAAATATATAATTAATTTAGATCAACTTTTAATTTTTTTGTTAACGAAGATCAATTCTGCAAGATTTATTAATTAATTAATAGTTCTAGATGTTTTGTGCAATGTGTGTTCATGAAGTGTAATAGCTCAGAGATTGGTGGGTCTTCTTTTGCAAATAAGAAACCAAAGCTTCAAGTACCTTCTTTTCTTCCTACTCTCAAGGTAACTAGCTCAATCTTTTGTTCTCTGTTTTTATTTCTTGCTGACATTTATAATTACAAAACAAGAGCACAAAAACAAAGTAGAAGAAAGCACCAAACTAAAGGGAATGGGAACAGAATAAGATGCATGTGTGCGTGATTGTAACGTTTTTGTCTTTCTTATATGTCTTCTTCTTCTTGATCTCATTATTCTTTCTTTGTTTCCTATGATTCAACGGTAGTTCCCCAATCCTTTTTTTGTTGCTTTTTTAATGAAAAATAGAAACTACAATCCTGTTTTACAGTTTGATTCCGTTTCAGTTCAGATTTCGTTTTCTACAAAATTTTAAATTATTCAACTTATGATTTCTTCTTCTAACTTCTAACTCTAACATTTTGCGGTTAGCTTACATAATGTTTAAGTTAACAAAAAATAAGAATTTAATTATATATATATATATATTTCGTGTCTAAACTGTTGTTGGTATGTTTGTAACAATATATATACACATATATATATATATTGGAATTATCAACTTTTATGTTTTATTTTTATTTTATTTTTTTGGATCTTAGATTAATTTTCCGTGAGTGTCTAAGTTTTTTTTAAAGGGCAAGTTAATGTCTAAGTTCAATTTAATATAATTGCACATACCTTCAACCATAATAAAATTCATATGTTTACGAATTGATTTTACGACATACTAACGAAATTTATAAAAGCAAGATACTTGGAGAAATTTTTATCTTTTGCCATGATAAAATAGATAAAATTGATCAAAGACTTAACTACACTCGCTAGATAATAAAATTACATACGCAGTATATGTAAATAATTTATATGAGTCAATTTTGTTTTTGATATATGATCTCTTGGTCTATCACTTACCAAAGGTGAGAAAAGAGAAACTTGGAGTCCGAATCGCAGCTCTTCATCAGCTAGTATCTCCCTTTGGCAAGGTATAATTAGTTAATTACTGATAATTTGCCTTTATTCGTCACTTAATTAAGATATTCTTATTTTTGTGAATTAAATTACTCATGTAATATCTGTTTTCTATTGGTTGATTGATTCCTTTTTTCAGACTGACACAGCGTCTGTCTTGTCCGAGGCTATTGGATACATTAGATTCCTCCACAGTCAAATTGAGGTGACTTGTCTTTTCCAAACTACCATGCTTCTTATTTCATTTATTTCAAGAAAATTATTTATTCGAATCTTCCCTCACAACTAAACAAAGTCATGTGGATTATTTGGATTTTATAAGAAAATAGCATGCAGTTTTAGATAAATGAACAATAAATCGAAACAATAATTCGAGGTTGATGATCGATTCCTATTTAGCTCTCATATTTTGTCTTAAGGTTTTTTGTTGTTTTTGAAATGTTAAATTTATTGAAATATTTCTATAGCTAATGTATATATAGCGAATGGTAAAACTCTCGTTGAAAATCGATAAATAGTTTTGTTATATTTAGAGTAATTAATAATTGATGCAACTAATTTTTCAACATTTAATTATATTTTTAATTTCAGGTTCTAAGTGTACCATACTTTGGTACTCCCACGAGGAATATTATGATGCACCAAAATGTAAGCTTTAAAATCATATACACATTAACCACATATGCATGTGTTTCTACTCGCACATCATAATTCTGATTTTCGTAATTGTAATTAAATGCTAATTAAAGCTAATTAAACGCATAGGCACAAGGAGAGATGAAAGGTATATTTCCTGAGGACCCTCAGGTACGTTTTTCTTTTTGTTGGATCAATTAAACGAAAATCATAAAAACAACAGTTGGCAGCTTTAGTTTCTAAAATTTACATTTTTCTCTTTACTATTGTTCTCATAAAAGTGAAAGGACTAAAATAAAGTATGGTCAATACATTAAAAAGATGTCATTACAAGCTTTCCTTTTATGCCCTTATAGTATTTAGTAACATTTCATGAATTAAACCAGAAAAGCCCCTTAAATTGTTGAAGAAAAAAGAGCCACCTAAATGATTGTAATTATTTATTTTATCATAAAAGTTTACTTTAAAATGATTAGAAACACTTTTTTAAACCAAAATATACCTATATTTAGTTTATCTTTTGAGTCTGTTACTATGAGTTTTGTTGTAACTTATATTTTTAGCATTTTCGTTACAAATCCAATCGTAAGTTAAAAACTCTTAGGGTCTCAGAGTTTTGAGCAATCTACAAAACTTATTTTATATATTACTCATACTATCTTAATCTTAAAATCTTTTAAACTTTTTTTTTTGGTGAAATGCGTAAAACTTGCTATTACATATAAATACTGAAGAAGTTTTCTAATTTGGTGATCAGCTTGTGCATGAGTATTGCATGAAAAGATCAAAAGGAGCTTCATCGTCATCTAGGAACAATCAAGAATCAAACCTTAACGAGGAACATAAGAAAGATTTGAAAAGTAGAGGACTCTGTCTTGTCCCCATTTCATGCACACTCCAATTTGGCAGCGACAATGGCGCCGATTATTGGGCTCCGGCGTTCGGGGTCACTTTCCGGTGATCCATTCACTTTATTATATTTGGATTTTGGTCAGTCGAAAATTAAATGATAGAAGAATAAATAGTAATGTTATAACATTATGAGCATCCAATCTATTGAGAGAGAGAAGGAAAAAAAAAAGAGTTTCCAAGATTGATTGCTCATGATGTTATACGATCACTTTAAAAACTCGAAGATTGTTTTTTGGCGTTTGGCCTTTGAAGATTTGCAGTTGACGTTGACGTGTATGAGATGGGCAAGTGAATTATGTTTTCTTGATTAAGTTACGAAACATTTTTTTTTATTGTCTCTAATGTATTATGTATGTAATGACTAATAACTCGAATAGCAAATTTGGAGAATCAACACTCTTCTATCTTGCTGCCTCTGTAACTCTAAACAAAAAACAAGAGAGCACTCCATTGCAACTTCTCGAGGTGCGACTTGTTCTCCCTCGACCAAACATGGTATTTGTGGATTGGTACGTAGTCTTTTATCACCTGGATGCTGTTCCATTCTCGGCTTCTCTCCAAAACATTAAAGTGTCTTGTACTTAATGCAACAATTTATCTCCTTTGGAAAGAGCGAAACAATCGTCTATACAACATCACTCTTACATGTACTGTATTATATTCGAACTGGTTATCCAATGTGTCATCTTTGGTCTTAGAACAAGTTCAGTAGTGAACCCCATAGAGGGGTTCATCAGAATTAAAAAAAAAATATTTTTGATTTGGGTGGTTTGGGAAGAACCTCGGGTGAAAATGGGGTTCCACTAGTGAACTCCATTTTGGGGTTCATCCCGAATAAAAAATTAAATTTTTTTTGAAGTTTAAATTTTTTTTAAAAACAAAAACACATATTTATTATAATAGACAAATACAATTTATTACACATTATTTTAGAACATACAATATATAAGAGTACAATTTAATACAAGAAAATTAAAAACATACAATATTTGAAAATTTTAAAAAACTTAACCAAATTTATTCCATATATTTTCTATTAAATCCTTTTTCAATCGTTCATGTATCTGGTTGTCACAGACTTCGTTTCGTTTTGCCATCATCAAATTTAGGACATTTGTAGGCATATGTGTAGACTACGTCATATCGACATGCGAATTTCTGCTTCCTTCATCTTGATGGAAGTCTTCTAAATTGTATCGAATGTAGCCATGTCGTTCGTTTTCTACCATCATATTGTGTAATATGATAGAGGCCCGCATAATCTTGCCAATTTTTTATTTATCCCAAAAAAGTGCCGGATTTTTTATTATTGCAAATCTGGCTTGCAGAACACCAAAAGCCCACTCCACATCTTTCCGGGCGGATTCTTGAGTTGTTGCGAATAATTTGTTTTTGTCTCCTTGAGGAAGATGAATTGATTGTATAAATGTTGCCCATTTAGGATAAATTCCGTCTGTGAGATAGTATGGCAAACGGTATTCGTTACCGTTTACCCAATATCTCACTTTTGGAGCTCGACCATGCAAGATGTCATCAAAAACTGGTGACCGATCAAGAACATTACCCTACTTAATGTTACCCTACTTAGTAATCAACCCTAAGCCATTTCTAAACCCTTAAGATATATGCGAACAGTCCAATAACACACATAAAGAACAGGGTCGAAAGACTGTCACCTTGAGAACCAATTTGCTCCTTCAAAACCCTGACTTTTCCCTCAAGCCTTGCTAACTCCTCACGGAGTTCTCCCTCAAGTCTTGCTTGTTCCCCACGGACTTCTCCTATAACCGACAAAGTTCATTCTACCACGATCACCACTCACGATCAAGTCCGTCTGCTTTTCTATCCTTGTCGCAAGGATTTCGCATTGCTCTGTGACCGCGTGATCCCACCATTGGTGGATGTGGTCGAAAGAGCCCTACATTCAACACAAAGTGTTAGCAAAGAGTTGGTGAGGATACAAAGATGAGAGAACACAACAAACTGAACTAAAAAACAAAGTAATATACATAAATAACTAACCTCATTAATCCATTCCAGGCAAGCATAATACTTGCGACCGGCGGTGTTTTCTTTGAGCTTCACATCCCTGCTGCAGAAGCACTTCTCCGGTATGCCATAAGTGGCATCCGCGTAAGCCCAGTAAGGAACCTCTGAACCTTCTTCAGATGAACCGCTGTTGTAGCTTGGCATGATCTGCCACAAAACAATATGATCAGCAAAACGATATGAACTCACACGATTACAATATGATATGAACTTATGCAATATGATCATATCATCTACTAATATATAGCAAGCAACAAATGATTTAGAAGCCAATCATATAACCAAAATGAACTCACACGATTAACCATTTCAACTCACATAAGCGATTAACCAGTTCAGTTCAGATTCGATAATGCCATACTTAATTTCAATAGGATCATATCATATACTCATATAAATCAACCAACAAATGAATTAAAAAGGCAACCATATTAACTCACACGATATCCTAAACAAATAATCATCTCCGCAAATGGCTTTTAACATACACACGAATCTTGATAATGTATCGAGAGTGACCCAGTTTGAATACCAACACAAACCCCCAAATAAACCCCCGAGATAGAAAAAACTTATTTCATCGCAACAATATTAAGATTTTCAATCTTAAAACCATGAAATCGTATTCGAAATAAGGATATGACGGTTTTAAATGAACGAATTAGACGCCTCGGGATCTACACATCGGGGGCAGCTTGTTTCAGATCCCAGGTGCTGGTATGCTAAATTCTGGCAGGTAGCCACACATCCTGATAATGCTTGCCATATGAAGTGTTTCATTTTTCCGGGTGAGCGGGTTTTCCAAACCTGACTTTGCAGTACCGTAATGCTCGGTTCCCTTATTATTCTAGGTTCCTGTTGTAACTTTGTCCTTCTTATTAGGTCATAGCCCGTCTTAACCGAATAGATTCCTGATTTGGAATGGTTCCATGCATATCCATCCAAGGTACGGTTCCGGCTAGGTCTCAACCCTAGGATAAGGGAGACATCTTCGGGTTGGAAGAAATTTCTCAGAAGGGGAACATCCCACTGCTTTGTATCTTGTTGGATAAAGGAGTAAACGAGTAATCCCGGGTCCTGGTAGCCGATCTGTGGGGTGGCTCTCGCCGGCCGAGCTCTAGTGTCCGGGATCCATGGTTCGCTCCAGACCCTTGTATTTAGACCCGACCCTATCGTCTTCTGCAATCCCATCATTAGGTATGGTTTTGCAGCTAAAATACTCCTCCACCCATAAGACGGGGAGTAGACTCTACGATCTTCCAACGGGTCAGATTGTCTATAGTATCGTCCTCGTAAGACCCTAGCCAGCAGAGATGAAGGGTACTGGATAAGACGCCATAGCTGTTTAGCTAGAAGAGCTAAATTGAAATCTTGTAGATCCCGAAATCCTAGGCCTCCCATATCTTGGGGGATACAAATCTTGTCCCAAGCAATCCAGTGAATCCCTCTATTATTCTGTTTCGAACTCCACCAGAAATTAGCAATGGCACTCCGTAACTTGTCAGTCACTCCTTGGGGTAATAGAAAGCATGACATGACGTAAGTAAGGACAGCTTGGGCTACCGATTTTATCTGAATTTCTTTTCCACCTTTGGAAAGAAGTCTTGCAGACCAGGAATTTACTCGGTTACTCAGTCGATCATGGACGTAGGAGAAAACTTTCTTTTTTGATCCACAAATTTGTTCTGGGAGGCCCAGGTACATGCCCATGCCACCCTCTGCCGAGATTCCGATGGCGTCCTTGATACCTTGCTTCAATGTCAGGTGAACTCCATTTCTAAACATGATTGATGATTTGCCCAGATTAAGTTGCTGTCCCGAGGCTGAGCCATATGTGTTGATGATCCTAAAGATCTCGGTTCCTTGTTGGATGTCCGCTCGACAGAAGAACAAGCTATCATCCGCGAATAGTAGATGGGAAACTGGTGGGCTTGCTTGGGCAATTTTTAGCCCAGAAATTTGGTTTTCCTTTTCTGCTCCATTTAGGAGTGAGATAAGAGCCTCGGTGCATATGATAAACAAAAACGGAGAGAGGGGGTCTCCTTGTCTCAATCCTCGTGATGGAGTGATATGTCCTTTTGGTTCTCCGTTTATCAACACTTGGTAGGATACCGAAGAAATACAGAACATCAGAAGCTTGACCCATCTCTCAGAGAAGCCCAACTTGATCACTAGGGCTTTAATGAAGCTCCATTCCACTCTGCCGTATGCTTTGCTCATATCTGTCTTGATAGCCATAAAGTTTTCTCTGCACACCAAGTTAGTACGAAGTGCATGAAAATTTTCTTGTGCCAACAGAATATTGTCGGTGATCAGCCTCCTAGCCATGAAGGCCGATTGAGTCTCTGAGATTAGATTAGGTAATGTCTTTTTAAGTCGTTTACACATGAGCTTTGAGATTATCTTATAGCTCACGTTGCAAAGGCTAATCGGACGGAACTCCGTCATAGCTCTAGGCTTTTCTTTCTTAGGGATAAGACATATGTTGGTCTGATTGAGTCTAGGATCAAAAGATCCTGATGTGAAGAAATCTTTAATTTCACAATATCATGGCGGAAATCCTGCCAGAACCTTTGGTAAAACTTGCTTGTCATTCCATCCGGTCCCGGGGCTTTATCTAGATCGATATCGAAGAGAGCTTCTTTAATTTCTGCTTCTGTGGGGTCTTTGAGGAGGATCTGGTTAGAAGATTCTGTCACTTTCTCGGTGATAAACCGGAGTGCATTATCTGGGTCTAGGGGTTGTGACGAGGTGAACAAGTCTTGGAAGTAGTGGGAAGCTACCCGTTCAATACTTCGTGCATTTTCAACCCAATTCCCATTCCTGTCCCTCAGGGCGAAGATTCGATTCCGACTTCTCCTTTGTTTTGTGAGCGCATGAAAGAAATTCGTGTTTCTGTCCCCGGCTTTGTGCCATTGTTCGCGACTTTTCTGTTTCCAGAAGGTTTCTTCCTCGCGTAAAGCAGCACAAAGGTTCCTTCTAATATCTTCTACTTCTTCTAATGTTGAGTTTTCGTCGTCTTGGGCCGCATCCAATTGGTTTTTAAGTTCCTCAATCATCTTCTCTGAATTTGATGATTGGGACTTTTTCCACTTAGAGATACTCGTACGACAATTAGCTACTTTGCGATGGAAATCCCGACGAGTGATTCCATCCAAAGAGCTCCAGCCGGAGATTACCGTCTCTTTGAAACCTGGTTTTCCCAGCCATCTTTTATCAAATCTAAATGATTTCTTCCTCCGGCGATTATCCACTTGAATTATGGCCATAACGGGACGATGGTCTGAACCCCATAATTTAAGGTATTCCACCGAGGTGTGGGGGAAGATAGATTGCCATTCTTCATTCCCCACGGCTCTATCGAGACGACATTTGACTTTTCCGTTACGTCTTCTTCCGACCCAAGAGAAAGAATTTCCTTTATACGGAAATTCGAGCATCCCACAATTATCTAACATGGTTCGGAAAGGGATAAAAGAGTATTCTAGTCTCCTGCGTCCTCCCCGTTTCTCATGGTTTCCGTAGATTTCATTGAAATCTCCAATCATAAACCAGACTTCTTTTCTAGAGAGGCTCATTCGAGTGAGACGTTCCCATACATATTCTCGGTTTTTAATGACCGGATCTCCATAAACGAACGTCAAAAAGATTTTATGTCCGTCTAGACTAGTTTCTACATCAATAAGATGTTCATCCGAATAGGAGATAGTAACTGAAGGTTCATCCATATAAAAAAGGGTTAGACCGCCACTTCGATCTCTCGGTTCAACAGTGAAAACATGATCATATCCAAAATGAACTTGCATGTCTTGCAGAAAGTAACGCTTATTTTTGGTCTCCGACAAAAATAGAAATTTCGGTTGAAAACATTTGTAAAGTTCTTCCAAATGATCTTTTGTCAAATCCGAACCAGCTCCTTGACAATTCCACCCGATGTCGTTCATTTGCAATATGATTTTAAATTATCAGATCCATACAAGCCCAATGGCTAACATTAAAATCTTGGGTTTAGCCCAGAATTGAAATTAGACCCGCTAATTTGCTTGCCCAGTAAACAATAACTATTAGGTCAAAAACAAAAGATCACCGTCGCCGCTGAAGTGTCTCCGATGAACAGTAACCACCGCCGCCGTTGTTGTCTGAAAGATGGTGAACTCTGTAGATCTGACGTTTTAGAAGCTATCTTGAGCTTTGCCGTCGTCGAAGGAGAACCACGAAGACACCATTGGAGATATTAGATAGATCTCAAAGCTTCCCACAACAAAAAATTTGAAAATTATGTAACAGATGAAAGTCTTAGCACTAGGCTAGATGCAGAAAAACAAATGTTATATAATTTATTGTTGTCGATGGAAGAAGAAGAAGAAGGAGGTGGAGAGAAACACAAACACTGAAATTGGAGTTCGCCACGTCACGACGATACTGTATCGTCAGGATCGTCGGGAAGAGACAGTATCGTCGAAATTAACCCATTTTCTTTTTTTTTAATTGGGTTTTGCCTATGATTCTGGGCCTGAACCCGGCTTGATATTCTAATGGACGTGCTCTAAGTGGTAGTGTTCAATTCCTAGAGAATGCAAATTAAAAAATGAGATCAAAGTTTCTGGAGATTTCCAAGCGATGCAAGCACAGCCAATCGTCGTGGTTCAGCATGTCAAGGGTAAAGTGTTCCATTATGAGCATGGTGCATGTAGATTGTTGATCGTGGATATTTATAAGATGGTAGAATTGTCTGTTATAAAATCGATTATATAACTATTTTTTATAATTTATAATTGATTATTTTTTAGATGATTCAAAAAAAAGATTTGGAAATTTTTATGGAGAAAAAATAGATGCTGAATGAAAATAGAATTTTTTTTAAAAGGCATTAAACTTACATTCTCTGTAAGAAATCTGCATAAATGCAAGACACTTATAGTATGCGAAAACTATTATACACCGTATATAGAGTATACGAATAACCCCTTTTGCTATTTAAAAATTTTTCAGTCGTCAATTTTTTTAATCAAAAGAAAACTCATAATTCGATTATATAACGAAAGTAACTTTCTCTACCTTGCTTTAAGATAAAGCTGACGCATAAAACAGATGAAGTATACAGTATTCTAAAATGATTTTTAATGGTTTATTAAAATATTTTAATTAAATTAATTAATGAGTTATATATAACCTTTAGTATATATTTATTAAACCTAGTAAATTATGCACGGGTTAAAAAATATGCTCATCTTTTTAATGTAATTTATCAGAAAATATGTCATTTGCCACTGTAATAAAAATCAAAAGAAATTTAAAATAATAACAAATGTACTTGAAACTCTTTGTCAGATACTCCTTCTATACATCGAATTTGGACATCCTGAATTCTTGATAATTATAAAAGGAAGAAAAAAAAAAAAAAGATAAAATGGAAAAGAAGGAGAGAAAGACAAAAAACAAATAAGTTTAATTACATCATAAAAATCATTGAGATCGATCTAGTGTTCAATTTGTTTGTCGCTCTATTCATCTTTTCTTTTCTCCCAAAAACTAAACCATAGAAGCAACAAATCTCAAAGCCAATTTCTAAATCCTTTTGAAAGATACAGAGAGAAACGATGAATAGAGGAGTGTTAGAGAGTTCGCCGGTACAACACCTCACGGCGGCTGAAAACCCTAACTGGTGGAATAAAGTAAGCGGTGGCTTGATGAGACCACCGTCGCAGCAGCCGCCTTCTACCACCTACTCTCTTCTGGACCCTTATATTGTTGTTATGATACTCTTGGCTTGCAGGGGGATGCCCAAAAGCCTACCACCCTTCTTGTGTAGATCGAGATGAACTAATCAATTATATAACAGTAGCAAAATCATTTTGCTACTGTTATATAATTTATTGTTGTCGATGGAAGAAGAAGAAGGAGGTGGAGAGAAACACAAACACTGAAATTGGAGTTCGCCACGTCACGACGATACTGTATCGTCAGGATCGTCGGGAAGAGACAGTATCGTCGAAATTAACCCATTTTCTTTTTTTTTAATTGGGTTTTGCCTATGATTCTGGGCCTGAACCCGGTGGATGTGGTCGAAAGAGCCCTACATTCAACACAAAGTGTTAGCAAAGAGTTGGTGAGGATACAAAGATGAGAGAACACAACAAACTGAACTAAAAAACAAAGTAATATACATAAATAACTAACCTCATTAATCCATTCCAGGCAAGCATAATACTTGCGACCGGCGGTGTTTTCTTTGAGCTTCACATCCCTGCTGCAGAAGCACTTCTCCGGTATGCCATAAGTGGCATCCGCGTAAGCCCAGTAAGGAACCTCTGAACCTTCTTCAGATGAACCGCTGTTGTAGCTTGGCATGATCTGCCACAAAACAATATGATCAGCAAAACGATATGAACTCACACGATTACAATATGATATGAACTTATGCAATATGATCATATCATCTACTAATATATAGCAAGCAACAAATGATTTAGAAGCCAATCATATAACCAAAATGAACTCACACGATTAACCATTTCAACTCACATAAGCGATTAACCAGTTCAGTTCAGATTCGATAATGCCATACTTAATTTCAATAGGATCATATCATATACTCATATAAATCAACCAACAAATGAATTAAAAAGGCAACCATATTAACTCACACGATATCCTAAACAAATAATCATCTCCGCAAATGGCTTTTAACATACACACGAATCTTGATAATGTATCGAGAGTGACCCAGTTTGAATACCAACACAAACCCCCAAATAAACCCCCGAGATAGAAAAAACTTATTTCATCGCAACAATATTAAGATTTTCAATCTTAAAACCATGAAATCGTATTCGAAATAAGGATATGACGGTTTTAAATGAACGAATTAGACGCCAATTGCAATCCCAAATGAAAGCCCCAAAATTTGTAAACAATTTCGAAAACCCTAATTTCAACGAATCTATTTGTTTCATATCTCCCAAATTTGTGCCGCATACTAGATTTGGGGTACCAAAGACGAGACTCGAACCTCTAATTCACCGAAATCGAACAAAAAAAACCCTGATTTCAATCCGATTTTTTTTCTCCAAAAATCACAAACCCTAGAATCCCGAAATCGAAATCAACAATTAAAACTACAAAGAATCGAAGCTTACCAGGACTATGGGGACGGAATGTCGATGTTTGGATTGCACCTCCACCGGGATTAATCGACGGAACCGGCGGTGACGATGGAATCGCCCTGAATCGCCAAAGAACACGAAGGAGAGAAGAAAAAATCAGGGAAAGAGAAAATGAATTGTTTCCGCGTTTTTTTTTCCCCAAAATGATGCGTTTTTCACAGCCAATCGCCTTACGCCACGTGGTTCGCATGTGGAGTCTTCAAGTTCGACGGGATGAACCGATACTTCCGAGTTGGGCCATTTTTCTTTTTTTTTTTAAACCTAAAATCTTATGATTTTGTGCCCAAAATTGTGGAAGACCCTCTAATGGACCTGGTCTTATGTGTTGTAGTTAGTTTTAGATGTTTTCTTTTTTTTTCCATAGAATTATAAAGTTAAAAAAATCATATAATAATAAAAACTGTCTGTAAAAAATTATAGTTTTAAGAAAATCATTTTAAAAAAAACACTTGATTAAGTGTTTAAACGAATTTTTGAAAATAAAACTAAAAAATCAGCTAAACTAAAAATGATCAAATGAGTTTTAAGAAAAAATAAATTAAAATTCATCTAAAATTCTTCTTTAGCCATAATAAGTTTTTGTTTTTGTAATGTTTTTGTTACATTTTTGATTGAGTGTTAGAATTACTAGGGAATTTTTGCGAATAAAAGAACATTGGAGGCCAAAGCCGTTATTTTTAAGCAGTGCTTCTCTGTTTTTGTGCAGACACGAGTGACTGTGAACGTGTTAGTTTCCAAGTGGTTCATCTTTCGTATACAATTTTGTAGTATTTGTTTTTTTTTATTTTTATTTTAAAACAAAACAATTTCCTTTTTTGCGGCGATCGGACGGTGAAAGGACGCCTAAACTTCAAACCTTATGAATAGTAATCGTTGGATCAGAGTATTTTTAACAACAACCGTACGATCAAAATTTTCTCTCAAATCTATCCGTCTAATATAATCGAGAAATTGAAATTTCAAAAGATGTATAAGAGAGGGAGGAGAGAATCTCTCTCTCTCGCTCGAAGAGGAAGAGGAAGAGGAAGAAGAAGAACTCAAAAGTATCAGTCTTTTCTTTTTTCCGCTGTTGTATCAAATTTCTCTCTCCTCCTTCTTCGAGCTAAAACCCTTTAAACCCCTAATTTCCTCTATCTCTATATCATTCGGTTCAAAATTCGAATTCAAATTGCCGTTTGAGTTTTCGTAGACGCCGATTCGGCTCGTGGGGTTTCGCATACGGGAGGGATTAAGATTGGATTTTGGATCTTCAATTTCTCGTGTTTATTTTGAATTTGTGTTTATCTGGGGTTTCGTTGATAATCAATCGTGAGCTTGTGGGGAAAAAGTTTCTGGGTTTCTTCAGACACTGAGAAATTCGAAATTCGAATTCTTCTTTAGAATGGGAGAAGGAGTCGAATTCCCGCCAAAAAAAGAGGTTCCAGATTCAGAAGAGTCTGATATTCCGACGAAGAAGTCGGCGAGGCAACTCGACTTCACTGGTGGCTCCGGCTCCGATGTGGAGCCTTCACAGTCTAATAAAACCTCAGCTGCATCAATCTCTTCAACAGCGACGGTGGTTACTCCGATTCCACTGTCAGAATCTCACGCCCAAATCAGGCTTCCGTAAGTTTCAGAATTGGGCCCTTTTTTACAATCAGAGATGTGATTTTGATTGTTCTACGTAGCTCAAGTGAGATGTTGGGGTTTGAAGCATGGATCTTTATACAGATTTTGATGATTTGAGTATCTAAGGGTTTTAAAATAAAATCCAAAGCTGACACTTTGTTTCTACTTGGCAGGAAAACCGAATCTCCGAAATCTAAGCCGAGGCCTGTAGATGGAACCCCTCAGAAGAAAAAACACTGCAACTGTAAACACTCACGGTGCTTGAAGCTGTAAGTATGCGAAACATTGTCTCCATCAACTCTTTGTAATGCTTGAACTCTTTATAAACTTAACATTCTGCAATGTTCCTTTTTTTTTGGGTCAGGTATTGTGAATGCTTTGCTTCCGGCGCCTACTGTGATGGTTGCAACTGTATCAATTGTTTCAACAACGTTGAAAGCGAACCCGCGAGACGAGAAGCAGTTGAATCAACTCTGGAACGGAATCCAAATGCGTTCAGGCCTAAAATCGCTAGCAGTGACGCACGAGATAACAGGGTATATATATTGTGTGATGCTCTTTGAACTGTTGGGTTTTGTGCTTCTTAGGCAAGTCTTTTTAGAAAAAAAATTTTAACTCAAAGTTTTTTGCAGGAGGAGGTTGGTGGAGTTGTGATGTTAGGGAAACACCACAAAGGCTGTCACTGCAAGAAATCGGGATGTCTTAAAAAGTATTGCGAGTGCTTTCAGGCAAACATTCTTTGTTCTGACAACTGTAAATGCTTGGGTTGCAAAAACTTTGAAGGAAGTGAAGACAGGCTAGCTCTCTTTCACGGTGAACATTCCCACAACGTGGCTTATCTCCAACACGCAAATGCTGCCATAACTGGAGCTATAGGTTCCTCTGGCTTTGCATCTTCTCCAGCTCCCAAGAGAAAGAAAGATCAGGACTTTTTTTTCACCCAACCAACCAAAGATTCATCTAATCATAGGCTTGGCCAGGTAAATCAGTCACGCAAAGTTTACTTGCTTGGCCGTCTTGTTAATATTCTATATGCTTTCCTTATCTGTTCCCTTGGTTAAGAAAATGAGAGATGTTAATAGTATAATTATTGGTATCAGGCAAATAGTGTAAGAATGACATCTTCGAAACCTGTTTCTCGTCGTGGAGGCAATGCGTCGTTAGGCCCATCCAAAGTTTTATATAGGTAAAAAATGCCTGATTTGTTTTTCCAAGCTAAATCTGATCTAGAGATCGCAGAAACTGAGTTATACATTTTGTTTTTTTTCTCTTTCGAAGGTCTCTCTTGGCAGACATAATTCAACCACAAGATGTGAAAGCACTTTGTTCTGTTCTGGTTTCTGTAGCTGGTGAAGTAGCAGAAAAGCGGTTGGAAGATAAGACAGAAACTTCCTTGGCTTCTTCTGCAAAAGACAATAATAAAGGTACCGAGGCCGAGAGAGAGGCTAGCGGAAATCAAGCTGATAAATCTGGTGCTGAGGAATCCAATTCAGATGGCTCTAAAAGCAGAGACCTGTCTCCAGAAACTTTGGCATTGATGTGTGATGAACAAGACACTATGTTAATGGTTGCAGCATCACCTAAATGTTTGGTGGAGTCCTCCTCGCAGCTACCAAACGGGCAAGACCAGGTTTATTCAGAGCAGGAGAAAGTAGTATTAACCAAGTTCCGTGACTGCCTTAACCGAATAATCTCCTACGGAGAATTTAAAGGTTTCCGTTTCTTATATCTTGAATAGAAGTGGAGTATGGCCAAACACAAGAATGGTATTCTAAAAGCTTAGTTTGTTTTTGTTTATTTGTTGCAGAATCAAACTGTTCTTTGTCAAGAATGGATCTTGACTCACCTGTACAAACCGCTGTGAAAATCGAGCCAGTGGTTCAAGAAGGAGCAGTCGCGAATGGAGTTTCACAAACCACGAAACAACAACCTTCTCAGCTAACCTCCTCACACGCTCAAATTCAACAACCTCAAGCTCTCTCTGAGAAGAAAGACCAATGAGTCATTAATATTTACTCCTAACTTTACAGAGAGCAAGCAACAATGCAGCTGAATCTGCGTCGCCATACTTGATTGATTTATGAGGTAACGCCACCAACTTTGGCAGGTGATTACAGAGTATTATCATACAACAACTATTCACAAAGATTGTATTATTAGGCTTTCTTCTTTCTTCCATTCACATTCTTCCTTTTGATTCATTATTGTTTGTTTACGAATTGTTATCATTATTTGTGTACATTGCCACATAGTCCACTCGACGATTTTACTTAGAAATATATATATTTTTTTAAGTTTACATTTGAGAGAACACAACAAGAATGTTATTGGAATGTTCAAACAGCTACCATTTCGAGTCACATCCGCAACAACAATGAGAAAGCTTTGATAGTTTCTGCATTCGCAAAAAAATAGATATGTCGATGACTGATTTTGATATATTCATCTTCTAGGAACTAGAGAAAATTTGATGTCACTTGTGTTTAATATTTGAGGAATAAGTAAACCAAATCAGGTTTTTGGTTTTTTTTTTTTTTCTAACGGTATATATATATATATATAACTCTCAATGGTTTTTCAAGAAAATAAAGATTCATATCTAAGAAGGGAGAGACCTAGCTTACATTATGCACTTTTGTAAACACAAATGGAATGTTACAACAATGTCGAAATTGAAGACTGAAGAGACACACTCATCCTCATACACTTTTGTAAACCAGAAAGTCTTCTTCTGAAGGAAACTATATGCTTGTAGATCTGTCGATCGAGGCCAACGGTTTATCTAGCGTCGATAGAATTTGCGGCATTGACATTCCACCCGAAACAACAATCTCTGCAGAAGATCAATGGATATAAAAGCTCAGTAGCTTTCTTCAAAATAACTCAGAATGCAATTCACCAAAACATGATGTATCTAGGACCATGACAGGATTTAGATTATGATAAAAGGCTTTGTGATCTCACCTATTCCTTCCCGGACAGAGAGATTTGGCCTGATAACATCATTGCTGTTGACAAGTAGTATATCCCCAATGTAAAGGTGATTCGTGGGAACGTAAACACAGCAAAGTTCCTCTTCGGTTGGGTAATTCTGCAAGGACAAAAGAGCATTATTACATTTGGTAAGCAATAATCATAATAAATAATGCCTGGAAAAACTGTGTCTACACTTTGTATCCTTTAAGGAGAAGTTCAGGAAGCAATAACTAAATCCTTGTACTTTGAAGCGTTTTCACTCACCTGAAGAACAACAGTTGATGTAATAAACCCAAATGCGTATTCGCCTATACGTGGATGCCTGATGATTGCAACTTCCTTGAAAGCTTGTGTATTTTGATCTGGCAAAAGGTGGATAAGAACAAATTGAGGTTCGAAAATTCAATCAACCAACAAATAATGAGGATTATTTCTTTCTTTCTTTTTTTAAGCGAGACCAGGAGATATGGCAGTGCTGATTTGCTTGGAGGCATTGTAGATGTGACGAACAAATGGCATCCGCTTGATAAACCACTCCCCAAGGTTCAAAACCGATGCCCCCAACCACGAGGACATGAACACCCCGACCAAGAAGATGAATGCAATGGACGTCAAAAAACCAAAACCTACAAAAACCAAAATCAGACTCATGTGAGAAACCGAAACCAGATCGTTGATTCGATCAAGAAGGGACACCACACACAATAGTGCTTACCAAATATGTTGATTCCAAGTTGCGCATATATCGGAGAGAAGAATCCATCAACAAAGTGAATAAACCACCATGTTATATAGAAAGTAATTGCAATAGGAAGTAGGATAACACTGCAAAGAAAATAAAAGCAACTTGAGGCTAGAATTCACCAAGACAAGATGTTTGAATCTTTGATAACTTCATCAAATACCAAAATTACAACTCTTGGCTTATGAGATGCTTACCAGCCAGTCATGAACTTCTTCGACGCCCAACCCCTAATGAACAAGCTTAAAGTCTGCAGAAAGTATAGCTAAAACATTACACCAGGCTGATCTGTGTGTATATGCTTGAATGAGAATGAACATAACAAAAAGACTCAGAGAATCATTTGGAATGCAAATTCATACTCTACACAATCAGAACGTGTCACATTACTATGTAAGCAACCAAGATCAGTGTTTTGCTTGGTTAACACATTTTATCTAAGTAAGTGTTGTTATGATAAGATGGAATCTAGGGCAAAACAATTTCTCAGGATATGAACAGAATCAACACTATACTCGGAAAGGAACTCCGAGCTTAAAATCAATCGAATTCCACTTTTAATTTCGCATTGAATCTTGACAATGAGCTAAACGAAGAACAGTTTAGCTTTCTAGATCAGGAGGAAAAAGGTGAAAGAGAAAATAAACCTCGTGGCTAGCTTGATGCGGAGAAGAAGAGGAAGAGGAAGACGGCTTCGAAGTTGAACCGTCGTCTTTTTCGCCGGAATCAGCGACGGGAATCAGAAGCTCTCGATCTCTTTCTCGGTTGGCCATCACAATCGGTGGATTTTCGTCTCCCATCGCCAGTATCTCCGAGAAACAGAGGCGATAAAGAAATCAAACCCTCTCGGAGAAGAGAGAAGTGCCGGTGAACTCCGGGCAGAGATTTGAACGGCGGTGAGGAAAAAACCCCCAAAAAGATGAGACTTTTCACCGGCGACTGCTCTTTCTGTGCACAAGAAATGGTTAAAGCTACCTTGAACTTCGAAGCTCTCTGTCGTTTTACGATTTTCTTTTTGTATTTGTTTTTGTTTTCTCTCTTTTTTTTTATTACATTATTATTACTTACTTCGTTAATATATAATTTTTTTGATACTAATTAATTCCCTAGATTTTGTAATAAAAAGTGACAATAAAATTGATTAATCAAAATATGCATTGTCCAAATTAAGCTGTGAAGTTCTATATGGAACATCAACATGTCAACTGTATTATCTTCTTCAAAAATTATTTGCTAGTTTGTGGTATCAGATGCCAAAACTCAATTACATTTATAATTTAAGCCATATAATTATTATTTTACTTGAATTGCATGTGCTTTACAGGATAATATTCTATAATAGCTTTTAAATTTTACAAAGGCAAATAAATCCAGATATTTCATCATTCGATGTTGGATTTACGCATAATCCTCCTTTAAAAAAATTTTGATCGATGCATTTTTTGTTGCAGTTTTCTATTTTCCACATGGATTGGCTGGAATATTCTCCATCAGCAATGAATTTTTGAATTTTGTAGAATATATATCCCTTATCGCATGACCTTAAAATAATTGAGAAATAATCAATTCTCATGAATTGAAATTAAAAAAAAAAACATAATAACTGAGTTATTAGTTCCCGATAAAATAACTACAAAATTTTTAAAATAGAATTACATATTTTTAAGTAATGATATATGTTTCTTTATGTATTCACCAAAAAAAACTTTTTGTTTCCAATTTAGAAAACAGGTTTAAGATGTAGTTAAAACTCAAAATCAACTTGACGTTTTGATATCAGAATTTCAAAAACCTTTGTTTCCTAACGATTTTCAAAAAAAATTTCTTGTGTTTGAAGAGTTATATTTTCCACATGCAATAAGAAATCATTTTATTATATACGACACTAAAAAGTATAATTCAAAAGATTTTTGAAATACCTCAAAGGTTTAAACTATAATTGTTTCGAAAATATGCTAACCAATGGAGAAAAAACAAAAAACATACCTGGAATTATAAGAAGAGCAACACACAGAAATGTAAAAAATAAGTATTTGTGTGAAGAAGCCATTTTCCTTCAGTTTTCAACAATGTTAATGTGTAGTTGATTTCTCTTCAAATGGTATATATAGAAAAAAAATATACAATAAACATAATTTTTTATTATCTTTTTGTATAATTAGTCAATGTAAACATGACATATGGAAGCCAATAAATACAACATTGATATATATATATACAAAATTAGATAATATACATTATATACTATATTTAAATTAAGGATAGCTTTTATGATATAAATAACTAAACAAAAAAACAACTAGACAAAGTTGTTCAAAACTGTCAAAAAATAAAAACAAAAAGTTTAGTACAATAAGTTCACCAACCTAATTTAATAACATATAAACATTTTACACTTTTCGACAAATTACTTTTCTTATTTTTTTTTGACAAGCGGAGCAGCACCCCATCCTTTGAGATTTGTGAAACGTCTTCTATGTATATATTCAACAAAAATCAATGAAACGCATGCATGGATTTTTTTTAAAACTTAAAATAAAATTAACAGAAAAAATAGAGTTGGGACAAAAATATTATTGGGCAACGCTGAGCAGAACAAATGTTTTAAGTACACAAAGAATATCAAAAGCATTGGTCGGCTTTAATTAGGTCCAAAGATGTACAGTTTTTTTTAGATCGCGATGAATCTACTCACAAGAACCACAATTTGTATTAGTAAGTCCAAACCGCTCTGCTAAATTCTGTGAACCAAACGAGTGGGCCACCGGTCCAGTTACAAATTTGCTTACAAACAAATTTGAAAACTGCTTAAGTGCTTTTTTTTTTTTTTCTACTACCTAACTATTACATCACTGTTGGTCGGGCTGAGGGCAGTTTTCGGGGTCGTTCTCAACCGATTCGGTATGATCGATATGGGTGAATATTTGTCCTCTTACTCGGGCTCCTTTTGTAAGACTGTCCGCCCGGACATTTTCATTTCTCGGGATATGGGAGATGACGAAATCTGAGAAGCTTTCACGAAGGATGCGTAGGTTTTCTAACTCAGACGAAAAAGACGGCCAATCAGATGGAGATTCGGTCATATTCACTAGATCAGAACAGTCGGTCAGAAAAAACACCGATGTTATGTGCCGTTCACTCAAACTTGACATAGCCCACAAGAGGCAATCCATCTCCGCATGGAGGGCGGAGAGGCTTCTGCGGCATCCTTGTTGACCATACACCTCATTTCCTCTAACGTCCACCAGGCTCCACCCGAGTCCGCTAACAGGTCCGTGATCGATCCAAGAGGCATCAATCCGACATGTCGGAACTCGTTGGATCGCGGAGGTAGGTATCTGGGGAAACGGAGGAGCTAAGGTCTCACCGGATGCGTCCTCGTTATCTTCTGGTTGGTTCGCGATTCTCCAGCTCTCTGCTTCCACCTTTGCATGGATCAAGGTATCTTCTGGGGAAATTGATTTCCCGTTAAAGATTTTGTCGTTCCTTGCTTTCCAAATGAACCATAGGATCCAAGGATATACATCCTTTTGAGGATCCATCATGCCTAGCTCTTTCGTTTTCCAAAAAAGAAAGCTCATATTTTGATAAATAGAGGTACTCGGGAAGAGGCCCGGAAGGGACAGGTAGTCCGATAACGCCCAGACTTGAAGTGCCAGGGGACATAAAAATAAAAGGTGATTTATAGATTCCTCGGGATCTACACATCGGGGGCAGCTTGTTTCAGATCCCAGGTGCTGGTATGCTAAATTCTGGCAGGTAGCCACACATCCTGATAATGCTTGCCATATGAAGTGTTTCATTTTTCCGGGTGAGCGGGTTTTCCAAACCTGACTTTGCAGTACCGTAATGCTCGGTTCCCTTATTATTCTAGGTTCCTGTTGTAACTTTGTCCTTCTTATTAGGTCATAGCCCGTCTTAACCGAATAGATTCCTGATTTGGAATGGTTCCATGCATATCCATCCAAGGTACGGTTCCGGCTAGGTCTCAACCCTAGGATAAGGGAGACATCTTCGGGTTGGAAGAAATTTCTCAGAAGGGGAACATCCCACTGCTTTGTATCTTGTTGGATAAAGGAGTAAACGAGTAATCCCGGGTCCTGGTAGCCGATCTGTGGGGTGGCTCTCGCCGGCCGAGCTCTAGTGTCCGGGATCCATGGTTCGCTCCAGACCCTTGTATTTAGACCCGACCCTATCGTCTTCTGCAATCCCATCATTAGGTATGGTTTTGCAGCTAAAATACTCCTCCACCCATAAGACGGGGAGTAGACTCTACGATCTTCCAACGGGTCAGATTGTCTATAGTATCGTCCTCGTAAGACCCTAGCCAGCAGAGATGAAGGGTACTGGATAAGACGCCATAGCTGTTTAGCTAGAAGAGCTAAATTGAAATCTTGTAGATCCCGAAATCCTAGGCCTCCCATATCTTGGGGGATACAAATCTTGTCCCAAGCAATCCAGTGAATCCCTCTATTATTCTGTTTCGAACTCCACCAGAAATTAGCAATGGCACTCCGTAACTTGTCAGTCACTCCTTGGGGTAATAGAAAGCATGACATGACGTAAGTAAGGACAGCTTGGGCTACCGATTTTATCTGAATTTCTTTTCCACCTTTGGAAAGAAGTCTTGCAGACCAGGAATTTACTCGGTTACTCAGTCGATCATGGACGTAGGAGAAAACTTTCTTTTTTGATCCACAAATTTGTTCTGGGAGGCCCAGGTACATGCCCATGCCACCCTCTGCCGAGATTCCGATGGCGTCCTTGATACCTTGCTTCAATGTCAGGTGAACTCCATTTCTAAACATGATTGATGATTTGCCCAGATTAAGTTGCTGTCCCGAGGCTGAGCCATATGTGTTGATGATCCTAAAGATCTCGGTTCCTTGTTGGATGTCCGCTCGACAGAAGAACAAGCTATCATCCGCGAATAGTAGATGGGAAACTGGTGGGCTTGCTTGGGCAATTTTTAGCCCAGAAATTTGGTTTTCCTTTTCTGCTCCATTTAGGAGTGAGATAAGAGCCTCGGTGCATATGATAAACAAAAACGGAGAGAGGGGGTCTCCTTGTCTCAATCCTCGTGATGGAGTGATATGTCCTTTTGGTTCTCCGTTTATCAACACTTGGTAGGATACCGAAGAAATACAAAACATCAGAAGCTTGACCCATCTCTCAGAGAAGCCCAACTTGATCACTAGGGCTTTAATGAAGCTCCATTCCACTCTGCCGTATGCTTTGCTCATATCTGTCTTGATAGCCATAAAGTTTTCTCTGCACACCAAGTTAGTACGAAGTGCATGAAAATTTTCTTGTGCCAACAGAATATTGTCGGTGATCAGCCTCCTAGCCATGAAGGCCGATTGAGTCTCTGAGATTAGATTAGGTAATGTCTTTTTAAGTCGTTTACACATGAGCTTTGAGATTATCTTATAGCTCACGTTGCAAAGGCTAATCGGACGGAACTCCGTCATAGCTCTAGGCTTTTCTTTCTTAGGGATAAGACATATGTTGGTCTGATTGAGTCTAGGATCAAAAGATCCTGATGTGAAGAAATCTTTAATTTCACAATATCATGGCGGAAATCCTGCCAGAACCTTTGGTAAAACTTGCTTGTCATTCCATCCGGTCCCGGGGCTTTATCTAGATCGATATCGAAGAGAGCTTCTTTAATTTCTGCTTCTGTGGGGTCTTTGAGGAGGATCTGGTTAGAAGATTCTGTCACTTTCTCGGTGATAAACCGGAGTGCATTATCTGGGTCTAGGGGTTGTGACGAGGTGAACAAGTCTTGGAAGTAGTGGGAAGCTACCCGTTTAATACTTCGTGCATTTTCAACCCAATTCCCATTCCTGTCCCTCAGGGCGAAGATTCGATTCCGACTTCTCCTTTGTTTTGTGAGCGCATGAAAGAAATTCGTGTTTCTGTCCCCGGCTTTGTGCCATTGTTCGCGACTTTTCTGTTTCCAGAAGGTTTCTTCCTCGCGTAAAGCAGCACAAAGGTTCCTTCTAATATCTTCTACTTCTTCTAATGTTGAGTTTTCGTCGTCTTGGGCCGCATCCAATTGGTTTTTAAGTTCCTCAATCATCTTCTCTGAATTTGATGATTGGGACTTTTTCCACTTAGAGATACTCGTACGACAATTAGCTACTTTGCGATGGAAATCCCGACGAGTGATTCCATCCAAAGAGCTCCAGCCGGAGATTACCGTCTCTTTGAAACCTGGTTTTCCCAGCCATCTTTTATCAAATCTAAATGATTTCTTCCTCCGGCGATTATCCACTTGAATTATGGCCATAACGGGACGATGGTCTGAACCCCATAATTTAAGGTATTCCACCGAGGTGTGGGGGAAGATAGATTGCCATTCTTCATTCCCCACGGCTCTATCGAGACGACATTTGACTTTTCCGTTACGTCTTCTTCCGACCCAAGAGAAAGAATTTCCTTTATACGGAAATTCGAGCATCCCACAATTATCTAACATGGTTCGGAAAGGGATAAAAGAGTATTCTAGTCTCCTGCGTCCTCCCCGTTTCTCATGGTTTCCGTAGATTTCATTGAAATCTCCAATAATAAACCAGACTTCTTTTCTAGAGAGGCTCATTCGAGTGAGACGTTCCCATACATATTCTCGGTTTTTAATGACCGGATCTCCATAAACGAACGTCAAAAAGATTTTATGTCCGTCTAGACTAGTTTCTACATCAATAAGATGTTCATCCGAATAGGAGATAGTAACTGAAGGTTCATCCATATAAAAAAGGGTTAGACCGCCACTTCGATCTCTCGGTTCAACAGTGAAAACATGATCATATCCAAAATGAACTTGCATGTCTTGCAGAAAGTAACGCTTATTTTTGGTCTCCGACAAAAATAGAAATTTCGGTTGAAAACATTTGTAAAGTTCTTCCAAATGATCTTTTGTCAAATCCGAACCAGCTCCTTGACAATTCCACCCGATGTCGTTCATTTGCAATATGATTTTAAATTATCAGATCCATACAAGCCCAATGGCTAACATTAAAATCTTGGGTTTAGCCCAGAATTGAAATTAGACCCGCTAATTTGCTTGCCCAGTAAACAATAACTATTAGGTCAAAAACAAAAGATCACCGTCGCCGCTGAAGTGTCTCCGATGAACAGTAACCACCGCCGCCGTTGTTGTCTGAAAGATGGTGAACTCTGTAGATCTGACGTTTTAGAAGCTATCTTGAGCTTTGCCGTCGTCGAAGGAGAACCACGAAGACACCATTGGAGATATTAGATAGATCTCAAAGCTTCCCACGACAAAAAATTTGAAAATTATGTAACAGATGAAAGTCTTAGCACTAGGCTAGATGCAGAAAAACTCGCTTTTAGCGGAAGGGGATTCAGTTCTTCAAAGATCGTAGCTTGGACTTGGGAAGAGCATCGACGGTGAGACCATGAGGAAAAATACGGATCTGAGGAGAGAAGCAAAAGAACAGCAATTTCAAAGAGAATAGGGGTTGCGCAGTAAAAGCGCCAATCTTCGTCTTCACAAGAGAGTAAGATCTGTCCCACATCAGGTCCAGATCTTCAAAGGAAGGAGGAGCAGCACAGATCTTCAAAGGAAGGAGGGGAACTCAGATCTTCGTCTTCAACAAGTAAAAACACCGCAAACCTCAGCCACGCCGGAGAGAAAACCTGGAGAGCTTCGAAGTTCAAAACCATGGTGGAAAGAAGAAACAGAGCGTGAGACTACATCGGGAAGAGGGCCAGAGAGAAAAGGCCTCAATAATCTAATTTCGTTCAATGGCATGACTTGCTTAAGTGCTTATATATGAACTCAGATAAAGAAAGTGGGATATTCTTAACAGGGTTATCAAGGCAGAACATGATATGTGGTTGTCTGTTGATTGTTGTTGTTGGCATAACTTGACGAGTTCTTGCTATCACATTTTTGTTTCGTTTAAGCTGTTCAACTTTTTTTCTCAAGCCCAAAATTTCCAACCTCAACACATGTCTCTAAACATATTTTCTGTAGCTTATAATTTTTAGGAGACATTTTTTGACCCTTTAAGAAATCTTCATTTGTATGTTGTCTTTATCAAAAAAAAAGGAATTTTCCTTTGCAAATTCCCACCGATATAGATCCGCTTTTCTCTATCAAATTGGCAAGAATCAAAAAGTATCTAAATGGAGTCACATGAATCATTAGAGTTGTTTCTAATTTTCTAAGACTATATTCTACATTCACTTGAACTAGAGAAAATCAGTGGCCACAAAGTAGATGTGACAAACAAATGGCATCCGCTTGATTCCAAGTTGCGCATATATCGGAGAGAGGAATCCATCAACAAAGTGAATAAACCACCATGTTATATAGAAAGTAATTGCAATAAGAAGTAGGATATCACTGCAAAGAAAAGAAAAGCAACTTGAGGTTAGAATTTACAAAGACAAGATGCTTGAATCTTTGATAACTTCATCAAATACCAAATTTACAACTCTTGGCTTATTACGAGATACTGAAAAAAAGGGAAAAAATAATGCTTACCAGCCAGTTATGAACAAGCTTAAAGTCTGCATTACACCACGGTGATTTGTGTGTATATGCTTGAATGAGAATGAACATAACAAAAAGACTCAGAGAATCACATGGAATGCAAATTCATACTCTACACAATCAGAACGTGTCACATTACTATGGTAAGCAACCAAGATCAGTGTTTATTTGCTTGGTTAACACATTTTATCAAGTAAGTGTTGTTATGATAAGATGGAATCTAGGGCAAAACATCTCAGGATTTGAACAGAATCAACACTATACTGGGAAAGGAACTCAGAGCTTAAAATCAATCGAATCCCACTTTTAATTTCGCATGAATCTTGAAATGAGCTAAACGAAGAACAACATAGATGTGGGCCCATAACATATGCTTAGCGAGATTTCATGTTAAAAAATCGGGGATTAATCAAAGATTAATCAAGAATTAGTTTTTTATTTATTTTAATTATTTTTTAATATTTATTTATTTTTAAAATTAATTTTGTTATATTAAAGTATATATAAACTAAAGTTTGTATAAATACATGCATAATAGTAGACTTTTTTAAACCGGACCAGATCCGATGGTCCGACCAAGTTAAATTGCAAACCAAAAATTTAACCGGATAAAATTAGTACTAAAATCTATAAAAGAATAGGCCGGTTAAAAAACCAGATTGAACCGTCAAAAAACCAGAAACCGACCAAACCAGCAAACCGCATAAAAACTGGTTCAATTAAAAAAAATTTAAATCGTTATTTTTTTTTTCATTCTATAGTTCAAATTTTAAAACATTTTATTAATATGTATTTTGTTTTTATGTTTGTTTAAAGTGGTAAAGATTTGGCCAAAAAAGATTGAATATGCTATTCTGTTTGATTTTGGTGTTATTTTTTATTTAGACTATTGAAGTTATTTTTTAATTATCATTGCTACTCTATTATATTCGGTGTTGTTTTGGATTTAAATTATGAAAAAAAATTTAAATAATATAATTATTAAAGAATTTTATTTAATATTTAATTAATTAGAGGTTGTAAAATATTATTAAACCGATTGAACCTAGTTAAATTATATTAACCTACGATCCAATAAATTTTTTGGTTCGGTCACTGATCCTGATTTAAAAACACAGCTTAGAAGACATATTAGTGTGTTGAGAACACATATTTAACTCAAGCCCATAAATCAATAAATCCCATTACATTTTTTTTTAAAAAGAGGTATTTTTTTTTTGTCCCACATCGACAAACTTGGATAATTGAGAAGGAGAGGCAGCACTATAAATAAGAGTCTTCATCTACAGGATAAGTAAAATTACCAATCCATGATTTGGGCCAATCGTCGATCCACTCCAATTGGGTCTGTTTTAGAGCCAGAGTATTTTTAATGGTCTCCTTTTTTATAAATAAATCGCCGTTTTTCTATAATAATCGATTTTAGGCTGTAGAAATCGGTTATCCGCCTAAGCTGACCAAGCAAGCCTTAATAACTTTTCGAATTGAAAGTAAATTACTGATTATGAAGTTTGCTCCTCTTGAAGGAGGAAAAGAGGAACGCAACCAAAAAAGAAAAGGAGATTCGGTGGCTGAGTGCAGGGTGAAAAGAATTCATTTTCAAGAGAAAAACAAAGAAGTTTCCATGGAAGAAGAGCCTCCTCCTTCGCAAGACATTTCAGCTTCCGGGGTAAATGGAGTTGATTCTCTAAAAGTCGAGGAAAAGAGAGAAGAGGAGAGTACACAGGCGGTAAAGATCGAGTTAGGGAACACAGAGTCCGAAAAGGAGAAGTTTGATGTGATGGAGGAGGAAACTACCGCTCAGGCTGCATCCCTGGAAGATATAGTTAGTGTTGACCTAAAGATTCCCGATGAAAAAGAGATAGCTAGCGTTGCTGGTTTTACTGAAATTCCCTCTCAAGATGAAAAGTCATTGGAAGAGTTGCAAATGGGTCAAGGAGCTAAAGA